GGGGGGCGGGATGGCTGCACTAGCGGTCCAGGTCCTCCTGGGGGTGGCGTGCGCGGCCCTCACTTCCACCGTCCTCGGGCTCCTGTGCCTCACTGGGCGACGTGCCCCGCTTGGCCTCGCGTCTGCTCGCCTGCCCCTCGCCGCCCAGCGTGTCCCCGCCGCACCCGGATCCCGGGCGCCTTCGGCGGGAACTGCCAGGAGGGCCGTGAGGTGAGCCTCCTCCTGCGAAGTCCGTGATGGAGAGCCGGGTCCCTGGGCGCTAGCACTTACAGTTGTTGGGGACGTTTTAGCACACGCGGCCAGCGCTTCACTCCACAAGGGTTTCATTTTGTTTTCTTAAGTTGACTGTTTTCGGATTTGTGTTGTAAAACACTCAGGGGGATGGCCGTCACTGGACAGACTGCCTCTGGCACGACGTGAAGCCTCGCTGTCACTTGGGGATGGACGAAAAGCGAAGGGCTGGTGGCACGGGCGCAGTCGGCAGCGCGGGTAGCTCAGGTAACACGCGTCTTGGGCGGTGCCTCGGGGCCTAAAGAGGAGATAGATGCACCACGACGGGCCCTGGCGCCCCAGCCGCCGACACCCCCACTTCCTGCATCAACCCCCCACCGCGGTCCTAGGGAAGAGGACGGGGCGGGGCGGGAGTCACGGGTGGGCGCGCTCAGGGGGTCAACAGGGGGTCTGGTGTGTGCAGGCCCGGGCGGGGGCGCCCACACAACAGGTGCCTCTCCCTCGAAGCCTTCTCGGATGGTGACCTGTAGGGGGAGAACGCCTCAGGTGGAAGCTCTGGCCTGCACCTCCTCCTGCCTACACACCTCGCCTTCACCCTCACGCCCACGCTCCCCCCGCTGCCCCCCAACGCCCTATTGGCTCTGCAGCTCGCGGAGCAGCCTCGTATATCGCGGCTCCATTGGGGTAGCTCGGCCGCCTGGCGAGGCTGCGGTGCGGGATCGCGAGGAACCTTCGAGGCACAGTCAGGCAGCGTTTGTCTTTCCCCAGGTCCAAGGGAACCCGTTGCAAATTGCAGAGTTGGGCTTGCGGAGGACCGGCCCTCCTTGGCCTGCAGGCCTGTCGCTCACTCACGCTCCTGGTGGGGTCGGTGCAGGCAGCTACACCGGCTGCCACCCCAGGTAGCCCCCAAACTGCTCGTCCTTCACCAGCCCCCCCACTCCTGCCCGCCCCCCCAATCACGTTTCCTACAAACCACAACCGGCAACCTTCACATCAGCCCCAAGCACACCACTACCCCACACACGCGCACACCACTTCCCACGCACTCTGGGCCACGGCAAGGGCCCAGCAGGGGTGTTCCGATAGGCTTCGACCCCAAGTGGGTCGCCCGAATTCAGTGTAAGGCCGATATTTAAAATCAATTATTGTAGAGTGAAAAGGAAACCGATGAAGAGAGAAGGAGGGAGGCCTCAGCAGCTCCGTGGAGCACGTCAGTGACAGGATCTGTGGCATTTTTGGTCTTCCTGGAGGGAATTCGGCCAGGAGGACGCCGAAAGTGCATCCTGCACACTTGGGTGACAAACACGGACAGCGGCGGATCCGATTGCAGCCTTTCCGTTCGCTTCCAATTAAATAGTTTAAGTGAAAAAAAATCAGGTCTAGTGTTTATCTCCAAGGAGGACTGGCCTCGACAATTTCCATTTCTAAAGACCAGTTCCTGCTGTGGCTTCATTAACATTTGGGGCTCGCCCCCCTCCTCCCCCCCCCAGCCTGATCTCTGCAGGGGCAGAGACTAAAACAGCGAATTATTACAAAAAATCCCCAGTTTGGAGCAGGAGCGTATGTTGAGAATCTACTCGATTTTGACATCAATTAAGTATCTAACCAGACATGTGCACGTGGCTTTGGAGGGTCTCCCAGTCGCCCAGGGTGCATTGCATCTCGAGGAACGCTGCCTGCCCCCTCTTTATTCTGCGCTGCTGATTCCGAAGACAACCTCTTCCTGAGTGTATTTTTTCCCCCAGCAATTACACTCCTCCACTGAAATCTAAATTTTCCATACTGCTGCCTGCTACTAATAAAAACCGTCTACCTTGCACTATTAAACAGTCGAATCGCACTACATGCCGTTTTTATTGGTAGTGACTGTAGCAAATTAAAATGCCTACGCAGAGACATTAAAACTTACGCTCTGCATTGTTACCGGAATATATAACTCCGTTTCGCTTTAAAGCTCCCCGATTTTTAAAAATCACTTTCCCTTTTCTTAGATTAAAGTTGGCTTGGTCTCCTTTTTCAAAATCAGTCGACAGAACATGCGGCAAGTGTCGAGGCTCGAGGCAGCGGCTCGGTGCGCGGCCTCCAGGCGAGCGGGCTGGCCTCGCTCGCCCTGCGCCTCTGGTCGCCGCGGGGAGCCCGGCTCTGGGGGAGCAGGGACCACGACGCGGCGCTCCCCGGCGCGGAGGGGCGTCGAGGCGGGCGTAGCGCGGGGGAGGGCCGGGCACTTGGCGTCTGCTGCTTTTCAGCTGCCTTCCAAGGTGCAGTGGAGAAAGCCGGCAGGCGTGCGAGGCACACGGAGCAGCAGCTTCGACCCCACGATCACCTCCACCAACTGCGAGGCGACGCGAACTCTGAGATTTACGGCGGGTCCTCCCCCTCCCCCATGTATGCGTTCAAAAGAGGGGGAGTTCAGCGCTGTCACATTTTTTTTTTCTTGTCCCCACAGTGGCCGCTGCACTTAGAACAAGTCGGCGAGGACGTGCCCATTTCAACGAGCCGGGTTTCCTGCGAGGCCAGGCGCCGGGAGACGCCGGGGACGCGGCCCGGGCGCCAGGGCTGCCCTGCGCTCTGCAGACGTGGCCCGAGCCTGCTCGCGGGCGGCCGGGAGGCCCGGGGCGGCGCGGGCCGGAAGTCCTGCGCGCTGCCGGCGAGGGGGCGCTGTGGCCCGCGGCTGCGGCCTGGGCCCGGCAGCGGTGGCCCCGGCGCGTCCCGGGCCACCGACGGGCGGCGGGCGACCCTGCCGTGGCGCGATCTGCCCCGCTCCCGCGTCGGGTTAATTCGGGGAAGAGGAAGATTATTCCCGGGGCATTTGAGTAAAACCTACGCCGGACGCGAGCTTTCCCTCATCCTGTCTTACCAGCCTGGACTTCGCTGGGGGTTTTAAGAGGTTGGTGGGGAAATAACTCCCATTTGGGGGTGTGTAAATTTTTTTGTCAATTAAGATGAAGCGCACACACTTGACGTGCGTTCACATGCACGAGGTGACATGTAACACGTAAGTCGCTTCATTGTATCGAAGCGTATTTCAATGGCATTCCTAAGGAAGGGTCCCCCAGCCCCCAGGCCTCCTGGTCTGTTTGTGGAGGGAGTGAGAAGTGTGGTTTTGCAGTTTCCTTTCTTTTTCTTTTTTGAAAACCGAAGCACATAGTTACACACTGCACAAAGTTCACGTCAAAATGGAGCGTGAGCCCCTTTCTAGCGTGGTTTCCGCCCTCTCGGCGTTCGCTCTGTGACCACCTCTGGGAGGGTTTCGGAGGCAGCGGTGTCGCCAGAGTCTCCAGCTCGCGTCAGACGCTGCCACTTGCGCCTGGGAGACACGCGCGGAGGGGACCGCGCGCAGCCTGAGGGGTCCCCGCCACTCGTGTTCTGGAACCCTGAGCTGGGATTCAGCTCGGGGTTTTGGAACGGGCCTGACGGCCTGCGCTGCTCCGGGAGCGCCGGGAGCCGCGCGGAGGGGATCCCCACGGCTGGGGCGGCCCCCGGGGTGTCGCGGAGCCGAGGGCCCCGACGGCGGGCGCTCTCCTGTTTCACGTCCCTGGCCCCACTTCTCCCGCTCCTCCCCAGTTAAGTGCCTGGCTCTGTGACGCTGATGACTGCGAGGTCTCGTCCTCGCTGACTTGTCCCTCCCGGTTTTCTTGAGTGGGCAGGAAAACTCCCATGCTCTCCCCCGACGCCCCACCTCCGACGCGCCTCCCGAAGGGTCTCTCCCCGCCGCGCCTGGAGAACCCCGTCTTGCCTTTGCTCAGCATCTTGCAGACTCGGTCCCTGCCCTCTGCCCCCTCCCTTCGCCCGTTGGCCGAGGTCCCCTTGCCACCACGGCCCCGTGCGCACCGGCCCCTCGCCCCCTTCCGCTTGCTCCCCGTTGGCATCGGCGGCCCCGGCCCGGGAGAGGGCACGGCGCGGGGCCCGGGAGCGCCAGGAGACGGAGGCAGGGGACGCGAGCCGGGCACTGCACAGGCCTGAGTTCCTTTACGGGATCGGAGTCGCAGGAGACTGTCTTCCAAAGCAGCGAAGACCTGCGCGGCCTTGCTCCTCGTCGCGGTTGTTTGGAAGGGGACAAGTTTGGAAGTGCTCAGCCTTTGCAGCTTTCCACCGCGCACGCGGGCTGCACTGACCCCCCACACACGGCGACGCGCACACGCGCGCGCACGCTTCCCGGGAGGTCCGCGCGGCGCCGAGGCAGCTGCTGGCGAGTGGAAACAGACGGAGAGTTTTCAGTTTCCCTCTCTGTCTGTCTGTCTGTCTGTCTGTCTGTCTGTCTCCCTCTCTCTCCCCGTCTCTCTTGTCTCTCTTTCTGTTTCTCTCTTCTCTCTCTCTCTCTCTCTCTCTCTCTCTCTCTTTCAGTGTTTCGGCAAGACAGGCACGACCGTCTTTGGAAGAACTTGCCTCACTCCCGCCCCCGCCCCTCCGGCCGCTGCTGCATTGCTTTGTGTTCACGGTTTTAAACACCAGGGCGCACCTCCGAGGTGGCCGCGGCGTGCGCGGGTGTGAGCGCGCCCTGGAGGCCGCAGAGACCGCGAGAGGCCGCTCCGTCCCGGCGGGAGCAGGCAGGACACCTCGCTCGCAAGGAAACACTGGAGAAGGAAGATTCCCTCCAATCTTTTGACAGTTTTATCAAACAAGCGAGGCTCTGAGAGCTTTTGCTTGGGGCCTCGTTTCACCTCCTTCGGCTAACATTTAATTCGGTTTGTGTCCCCCGAAACAGCTCACCCAGGCCACCAGTTCTGCCGCATGTGGTCAGGCGCGCACACCGCCCTTCTGCTCCCCGAGCTCTCTGGCACACTGACACACCCGGGATTGTATAGGTAGGGAAACGGAGTTTAAAACAAAACAAAACAAAACAAAACTGGAGGGACCGCAGAAAGAAATATTTGATAAATCTGATGGTATTAAAAGTAAAAACCTCAGTGGAAAATAAAATAAATATCTGACAGCGACCCTGGGAGAGGACATATGCAGCACTTATAAGTGACAAAGACTGCTATGCAGAATCACGAAGAATGCTGACAGTCAGTGGGTGAAGGCAAAACACCCAGTGGAGAATGGGTCAGGGATAGGCACAGACCCTCTGCACAGAGGAGAACCCGAAAAGCCATGTGCCAGAGGTGCCCCCATTCACTGGTGATGGAGAAATCTCCAGACAGTATACAAGAGACCACTTTACACTCACTGGATGACACCAGCCAGGCCCAGGGCGCGCAGAGCCAGGCAGCTAGCTTTCTGCCACTGCTGTGCTGGTTTCAATTCCTCTAAGGAAGTTAGACTCGTTGCAACATCTGAAAGAGCAGGGGATGCCCACACCCGGACACCCTGCAACTCCCGGGCTCCCCATCCACGGCGGGGAAATGCCAGGCACAGCGCTGCGGGGCATGGTCTGCAGAGCGCAGGGCCAGGCTCCGGAATGTCAGTCAGGGGAGGCCCGGATCAAGACCAGAAGCCCCGCAGCTGACAGTGAGGAGAGCAGCCCCACTACTTGTAGCAACAGGAGTAAGTCCTCAGACTGCAAAGTTGGGTGGGAAAATAATACAAAAGAAGGATGCGGACAAGATGATGCTAACGATAGTTTTAGGAACAGCCACGTGTGTGCTTTTTACAGGCACGGTGTGGGGGAGGAGCTGTGATGGCCCCACGGGGGCACGGTGCCCCCCTGCGGGGCACACTGAGGGTCTCTGAAGAGGGGCTGGGAGGGGTCAGCCCTACTAGTGGTATTTTATTTCTGAGAACTATATCTGAAATAAATGCCCCAAATCTTAATGATAATTATCTGTGAGCGATGGTTATCTGGGATTATGTTATTCTGCATTTTTCTATCATATGATGTATTTTCTGTTTTGGAATTTCAAATAAAAATATAAGCATTGGCATTTAAGATTAGTGTCATAGGACAGAAGTATAATGTGCTCATTTAGGAGTTCTTTTTTTAAAAAAGTCTTACAATGTTACATTCTTCATATCTTTCTCCTCTCTCCATCCCCTCACCCTTCAAAAAAAAATAAACAATGTCCGGGACCTACAGTCTAGACGTTTAAACTGAGTGTCACTTGTGTGTCTGTCTTTTGCCGTTATCCGAAGCTGGCAGGGAGAGGCAGGCTTCCTGGGCGGGGTGTGGAGGCCTGGCCGGTCTCTCTGCTCACAGACAGGACACTGTGGCCAGTCGGGAAGAGCAGGCACTGCTGGCCGGGGCAGGCTGCCATGGCCACCTGCGGGCCTCTGTGGGGGGAGGGGACATGCCTTTACCTGTGTGGAATCATGCGCCTTGTCTTTATGTCCCAGTAAACATATTTTAGAGATTCAAATCCAGAGTAAAGAGAGAGGCTGTGGGGAGACAGAAAGTTGGGCAGAAGGCCGGGGGAGGGGCAGGTGCAGGCTGGGAAGGAAAAGAGGGGCAAGGCTGGGGGGGGGGAACCTGCGGGCTTCTGCAGGCTCCCGTCCCCGCCACACACCTCTTCACTCTCAGAGTGGAAGGTCCTGCCTTTCTGGCCGCTTAGCTCTTTCTAGAAACGATCCACTGTCTGCCCTCATTCTGTCCACTGCACCCGAGAAATCTGGACCTTCACACACAAATCTGCTTAAAAGCCTTGCACAAAGGGAGAGGCCTTGAGGCCCAGTCCTGCCTCCTCCGTGATCACATGGTCTCCCGGTGTCATTCCTTCCTGGCCAGCTCAGAGCCAGGCAGAAAGGACAGCACTATTTCCTGGGCACCGCCAAGCTTCCAAAGGCTTCCCTGTGCCTACGTGGCCCAAAGCCCCCGGGTCTTGCTTCTGCCCACAGCAACCGTCCTCTGGGGGCCCCCTGGCCCCCTCCCCCTTCCAACTGCAGCCGGGCTTCCTTTCGCTTTCCACCTCTGCAGGCGGCTTCCTGCCTGGCCCACTCCCCAAGGTCTCCACTCACCCCTCCTCCTGGGAGCCCAGAGCCGCTGGCCTCAGGCTGTGATGCTTCTCTGGCCTCAGTGCCAGCCCTGACTCCAAGCCTGGCAAGTCCTGGGCACTAGACAAATATTGAATAAGTGAACGAATGAATGGATAGTTCACTCTTGGTTATTTGCTTTTACTTGTAAAGCACAGCAGGGTGCTGAGGGAGAGAAACAGAAAGGGATGGGGACACTCACTTAATTTCATCCCTGCTGCCTTCCTGCTTGGAGGTCCCTGTGCACACCAGCAGGGTGGGCCCCACTCACCCAGGCAAACCAGACCAGTTCTCAGGAGGTCTGGCTCTCCTGGAGAAAACACCATCTATGCTGGGTATTAAATTTTAGGGCCCAAAAGATACGCACATTTAAAATAACAGTTTGTTTTAAAAATAAATTTCTGAGTTAGCCACACCTCCAGGAGAGCCTTGCTCTCCTGAGGAAAGTGGGCAGGCGTTTTTTTATCTTGCATCCCAAATGTCCCGCCCCATTCCCAGGACATAGCAGGTGCTCAATACAATTACTCCAGCTAATGAATGAACGCACGTTGACATTTGGGAAAAAAGAAACTTGAACAAAAGCAAACGGAACTTTGATACTATTTTTGGTAAAAAATTCAGAGTGGGAAAGAGTTATAGTATTTAAAACATTAATTAGATCCCAGCAAGGTTTTTGTAGACATAGACAAGCTTATTCTAAAATTTATTTTTAAAGGCATGGGACTTAGAGTAGCCCAAACAATTTTGACACAGAAGGATACAGTGGGAGGAATCTGTCTACCCGATTTCAAGACCTCACATGACTGCAGAAGTCCAGAGAGTGTGCTGCCAGGGCAGAGCTGGGCCAGTAGAGTACTGGGACAGAAAAGAGATCCGAAAAACAACCCATAAAACATCCCTGACTTATTTTGACAAAGGTACAAGACAATTCAGTGGAGGAAAATTAGTCTTTTTGACAAATGGTGCTGGAGCGACCCGCTGTCCATAAGCAAAAAACAGTCAAACAAACAATAAACTTCAACCTCAACCTCACACCTTATACAATAATTAGCTAAAAATGGGCCAAGGACTTAAATGTAAAATTATAGAACTTTTAGAAAACTATATGAGAGACTCTACAAGATCTAGGCCTAGAAAAAGGATTCTTAAGACCAGACACCAAATGCATAAGCCATGCAAGGAAAGTTTGATAAATTGGACTTCATCCACATTTAAAACTTTGTTATGTGAAAGGTCCTGCTAAGAGAATGAAAAGATGAGTGGCAGACAGAGAAAATACCGTATCTCTCCATGTATAAGACGCACCCTTTTTTGAAAAATTTGAGGTCTAAAAACTGGATGCGTCTTATACAGTGGTTGTATGAGCGCAAAAACAAGCACAAAAAAAGCAGGAAATGCAAGTAAAAAAAATCTACAACCACTGTATAAGATGCATCCAGTTTTTAGAACCCAAATTTTTCAATTTTTCAATGTGTCTTATACATGGGGAAATACGGTATTTGCAAACCATGCATCCAACAAAGGACTAGTATCTAGAATATATAAAGAATACTCACACCTCAGCAATAAGAAAAAAACAAAACAAAAACAATCCAATTAGAACTTGGGCAAAAGACATAAAAAAGCATTTTACTGAAGAGGATATACAGATGGCAAGTGAGCACATGATATGACGCTCAACATCATTTGACATCAAGGAAGTGCAAATTGAAGCCATAATGAGATATATGCACCTATCAGAATGGCTAAAATAAAAAACACAAAACAGTGACAACATGAAAAGCTGGTGAGCATTCAGAGAACCTAGGTCATTTGTACATCTCTGGTGGGATTATCAAAAGCGGTTTGGCAGTTTTTTATAAAGCCAAACTTACAACTACCATGCAATCGACTGACTGCATCCTTGGGCACTGAGAAAGCCTGTGCATAGCAGCTTTCTCCATAATAGAAACTGGAACCAGCCCGGCTGTCCTCTGGCAGGCGGGAGCGCTGAACTGCTGCTCAGCTGTGAACAGGCATGAGCTATTGGTCCACACAACGTGGGTGACTCTCCAGAGATCTGTCCCTTGGATGAGGCTGAGGGAAAAAACCAATCCCAAAGGTTCTACACAGCACATTTCTGCTTATAGCACAGTTTTGAAATAACAGAATTTTAGAGACAGAGAATAGCTTGGTGGTTTTCCGAGTGTAGGGACAAGGGTGAGCGAGTTGGGGTGACTAGAGGGAGGTGGGCGTGTTGATAAAAGGTAATAGGAGGGGTCCTTATGCTGATGGGACTCTTCAGTACTTTGACCTTGTGGTCCTCAGAAACCTTCAAGGGATAAACAGGGCGTGAGGGCTGAGGATGGGAGGTCCACAATATGTGATGCCCCTGAGC